CTCTCTCTCTCTCTCTCTCTCTCTCTCTCTATATATATATATATATATATATATATATATATGTGTGTGTGTGTGTGTGTGTGTGTGTGTGTGTACAGTTTTTTTTGTATATACAGTTACTTCAATATTTATGAGGAACTGAAGAAATTTGCTTGTTTGAACAGATACAATAGAGAGAAGTAAAAATGTTTCTGAACATGTTGAGATGAGGAAGGATTTTTTCAAAGTCCTGGTTGTGGACCAGGGATACAAGCCTCTGATCAACCATGGTTCTGATTTCAGTCAGTACCTGCAGATATTGAGCTTTGGATTGCAGATGCAACCCCTCAGTTTGGCCATGGATATGATACTAGTGTTTCAACATGCTCTATAAATTTAGTGAACAACAGTTGTATTGGATGTGTACAATTTCAAACAAATAACCTTTCCGATTCCATACTCAATTGACCTAGATGACTATACTGATCATTATTCATGATGTCTACACAAAAATGTAAATATGAAATTGTAGTACTGGTGTTGATGTACTGTCTACATGTCATCCATACATCATGCACATGAATGTTAGATTGACAATTCACCAATGATATGTCCAAGTCCTCGACTTATTTGTATCTCCCTGTTACCTTTGAAACAGAAAGGTTTATAGCACATCAGCGAATTGGAAGCAAATAAATCACTGAAAGATTCATGGATAGAGAGCTGAGAGGTTGATAGAATTATAAATGTGAAAATGGTCTTGTTTCTTTATTTCTTAGACAATAACAGATCTATATATGTTTTTCCAGAAGATGTATAGGAGTTTAGATGGTATATCCAGAATAACATATTATTCAAATTTTAAGCTATATTTCAAAAACAGGTTTGTTCTTAGACTTATTTTCGTGGTAATATTAATTGAAGAACTTAGACTGTTATGCTCAGCAACATGATGGCTTGAATCATCAAAACAATCTTAGATCATTATGAATTGTTGTGCAACATGAGAAATTACTTGTGTGGTTGCTATCCTTTGACCACAATTATATATATATATATATTTTTCTTTTTTTTAAGAGAATCATATCGATCTGCTTTATCTTGTTGTTGAAATCCTTTGCAGCCCACTGAGATCTATCTCCCTGTTTAATTACTACCAAATGGATGCACAATCGAGTAGCCTATGGGTTGGCCAAATCATTATCCCTTGAATTAAAATCTAAATCTGTGTCCACGGCAATCAAAGCAGGAATCTCTGCACCCCGGTGGCCAATCAACGGACTGGATTAATTATTTCCCTTTCGGTGTCACATCACGAATGAAGAAGATAAATGATATGGGTCACGTCAAGGTTTGGTTACAGAGGGATGATGCTCAATTAGGAGACGAAACCATGACAAGGAAAGCACGAAGAGGACAAGACGTGCCGTGCCGTGCCGTTCTCTGTATGTGTTCTTCGCCCACGTCACCGGCTGCAAACCACCGTACACTTCGCAGGAGGAGGCGACGATCTAGTTTTTGTGTTTGGTGTCAGATCAAGAACGTTTGCTAAAAGCAAGCTCACTCTGACCTGATCCGTTCATGTAATCGGTGGGACAAAGCAACATGTTGAGAGAAGATGCTTTACACGAAGTGGATCACTAAGATGCAGGCAGTGCTCATTAGTATTTCTTTGAATAAAAAATATAAATGATATAAATAAATTTTAATTTTATAATAAACTGGCAAAAATCTATACTGATAAAACTAATTAATGCTTTCTAAAATATCTCAGAAAGGATTTTGAGATTTTGAATCGTCAACTTCGATTAAGATAAAGTTGGATATATCATCATCGGATGAGAAGGAAGCACAGCACACAGATGTCACTCCACAAAGCACTGGGCACCACATGTGAGGAGCTCATCGGTAAAGTGGATCAAAAGCTCTGTTGATCCATATGTTTTTGTTCTCTGTGCACTGTGTGATGATCACTCGTTATGTCTCTCTCTCTCTCTCTCTCTCTCTCTCTCTCTCTCTGTAGGATAATGTGTGGGTGTGAAAGAGAGAGAGAGAGATCTATTGAATGGACTTCACATGTGTGCACGAGGTGGGCAACGGCGCTTGCGAGGACGGAGGCACAGTGTAATCATGGACGTGGGAGGCTTTGCGACCATTAAATACAACTTCTCTCTCTCTCTCTCTAAACTTCTCTTCCTTCTCGTTGCAGAACGTACAAAGGGGTTGATCGTGGGATCCAACTTGGGAAGATGTATAGGTTGATGATGATATGGGCGACTTTAATGGTGCTTTTGATGGCAGCGATCATTTCACAGACTCGGAGGATGAGGAGAAGCCACAAGAGAGCTCGGCTCCCTGCAGGGTCCCCGGGTTGGCCGCTCGTCGGCGAGACCTTCGAGTTCGTCTCCTGCGCCTACTCGCCTCGGCCGGAGAGCTTCATGGACAAGCGTCGACTCTTGTGCGTTCCCCTTCCCCCCATTCCATCGTATCCTTTCTCGTGATTTCATGCGATGCGGTTCATCTTGAGTCGGTCGTTGACGTATTGATGTTTAGGTACGGGAAGGTGTTCAGGTCGCATCTCTTCGGCAGCCCGACGATCGTGTCGACGGACGCAGAGGTCAGCAGGTGGGTGCTGCAGAGCGACGGGCGGTCGTTCGTGCCGTCGTATCCGAAATCCCTCACGGAGCTGATGGGGAAATCCTCCATCCTACTGATCAACGGGAACCTCCAAAGACGAGTCCATGGTCTCATCGGCGCATTCTTCAAGTCGTCTGACCTCAAGGCTCAGATCACCAGAGACATGCAGTGCTACGTGCAGCAGTCCATGAGCAGCTGGAAGAACGAGCGGCTCATCCACATCCAAGACGAGGCTAAACACGTTAGTCCTCGATCCCCACTTCCTTCCCCCGTTCTTCCCCTCACTAATTCTACCCCAGAAAAAGCTGAACCAGTTTGATCTGCCCATCAGATCGTCTTCCAAATCCTAGTAAAAGGGCTGATTGGTCTACAGTCAGTGACGGAGACGCAATTCTTAAAGCAACAATTCAAAGAATTTATTGCTGGTTTAATGTCTTTGCCTGTGAAGCTACCAGGAAGCAGACTCTATCGATCGCTGCAGGCAAGTGATCTACTCCTACGCTGATGCTTCCATTCGGCTGAAGCCCATTTATGACCAGGCCGTTAAAATGTTTCTCCTCACCAGGCAAAGAAGAAGATGGTGATGTTGATAAAGAGCATCATTCTGGAGAAGAGGAAGAACAACTGCGGACGCACCCCGCTCGACGTCGTCGACGTCCTCATCAACGACGCCAGTGATCAGTTGACCGACGATCTCATATCGGACAACATGATCGATCTGATGATTCCAGCCGAGGATTCGGTGCCTGTTCTTGTGACACTTGCAGTCAAGTACCTCAGTGAATGTCCTCTTGCGCTCCAACAGTTGGAGGTACAGTTCATGATCATTAAACATGAGTCGTTGTTAGTGCTCCCGAGTGCATGCCCCACCATGAGCTGATAAACCAAACCACACAAGATTACAAGTAGAGAATATTCGAGAGGATAGCAAGCACGTCATGCATTGCATGGGTGTATTTCTTCTACATATCTTCTTCAGCATTTGTTGTCTCATTCAATACGATGTAGAACTTCTACCCGGTAGGTCTTGGACTTTTGCACAGTGTTTGAACAGTGCAATCGATCTCAGGAAGAGAACATGCAGTTGAAGAAGCGAAGATCACTACCTGGTGAGGATCTGCAATGGACCGACTACATGTCCTTATCATTCACACAAGATGTAAGTCGAGTGTTTACGTTCTCGTAGATGGATGAATCTACGATCGATAATCTCTTTTTTGTATGGTTGAGTAGGTCATAACGGAGACTCTACGGCTGGGGAACATCATCAGCGGGATCATGCGCAAGGCTGTGAGAGATGTGGAGATCAAGGGGCACTTCATACCTAAGGGATGGTGCGTGTTCGCCTACTTTCGATCGGTTCATCTCGACGAGAACCATTACGAGGAGGCCTACAAGTTCAATCCATGGAGGTGGAAGGTACTCAGGGATGCTTCCCTTTTTTGGTGACCATCACCTACCTGCCTCTCCTTTGAGCAACACACTGTAAGGGAGGGGAGCTGGGTGGTAGTCAACCTTCCTCCTGCTTTGCTTATCTTATCTGAACGCCTTCTTCTTCTTCTTCTTCTTCTTCTTCTTCTTCTTTCTTCTTCTTCTCATGGACATCCCCACAGGACAAGGACATGAGTACTTGTAGCTTTACTCCTTTTGGAGGTGGGCAAAGGCTGTGCCCTGGGCTGGATCTGTCCAGGCTGGAGGCTTCCATCTTTCTCCACCACTTGGTCACCAACTTCACGTAAGGATAGCCATCAACCAATCTCCATACTTATCTATTCCAATTTCTCTTCTTCTTCCTCTTGTTGCTGTTCCCATCATGCATTATACTGTTTGCATGTGTACGTATGAAACTGGTGACATAGGCATGTCTGTTTTGTTCTGCTTCATAGATTTGTTCTTCCCTTATCATTTTTGTTAGGTTAATGATTATTGCTGTGCAGGCAGAAGATCAAAGAGAGAGAGAGAGAGAGAGAGAGAG